TACCATTAACAATTTAGTAGATAACTTGAAATACTACAATTTGGCGTGTAAATTCTTCCATCTTTCTGCAAATAAGAAATGGTGTGCCAAATCTCAGAGCTGACAAAGACTAAAGGAGCTACGATTCGTTTTACAAACGAAACGAATCTGCTGTTACAACTGGAGGCAGAAGCTAACATCTACTGCATCTTTCAATGAATATTCCTATTCGCGGTTTTGGCAAATTCATAAATATGGTATTTAGTGCCATTTCAGTGAGTTAGGTTTGTAAATTATAGGTAAATTCCAATACCTCGGCGGTGTTTGTCTTTTTCTCATTATCTTTGAGACAATTTTAACATTAATGTTGAGTAATACAACAGTTATCCTATGCCTGGAAATATGCGCATCTTGCAATTGGGGGCACTTTTTTGGTTTCTGTAGATCATTGCAACGGTGTCCAGCTTGCGATTTGTCACTGTCCCACGAACTTTACCTGTGACTCAGAACTGAAACCTTCCTTATTAGAGGAATACAGGAGCATCAATTTTTCTATTATAGCACATTTGAATAGGTACCTTACCGTTCAATAAAATTTTCAATACAGTCTGAATTATCAGTTAATATACAATGTGACAAGCACTCTCACCCTCATATAATGATTTATCATCTCTCAGATATCTATAGCTTGATGGTAGTTACACCTAATTGGGTTGAAACGATTCCTTCCATCTAATAATTGTTTTACTGATTTAGAAACGTATTATAACTCTTGTTTTCTGCAGTAAACATACCTAGTCGATTAAAACCCACCGAATAGTGTTTAGCAGCAGACCCATCGTTTGAAAGTTAAGAATACGGCAAATAAACTACCTTCTTGAATTGAAATTTTAACCCGCATGAATCGAGTAGGAAATGCTAAAGGAATTCTGTGTTTTCGCTATAACACGACAAGTCTATGAGAATTAGACTTTCTTTTGCTCCTTAAAATTAATATTCATCAACCTAATCAGGCAATTTAGCTAACACCTGAACGGCACTCCTCAGCCGAAAAATTGATCAGGCCACACGTCCAAGAATACTAGTACCTCACATTGCCATGGTTATTAAACTTCGGTACGCACACATGTAAGTGCCAAAAATATCCTTTTGAATTTAGCATTAGAACGGGATAATGGTTATTAAAAGAACAATGTTAAGTTAATTCCTTTCCATTTTCCTCCGACTTGTTTAAAAACCAGAAATCTATAGACCTTACTAAGCTACCTCTCAACAACTTGAATTTCATCTAAGAGAGTTTCACTTTAATTCACGAAAAACTTCGTATCAATTTACATTTTGAGGACCTTTTGAATTATGCCACAACACCTGCAAGTCATTAAGTTCCACATAGGACATATTGCACAATGTTTAAATGCGTATAACGAGCAGAGTAGTGGAAACTCCTCAACTTCCTGTCAGGTCGAAAACACTCAGGGACTGTCTGGATTTATAAATGCTATCTGGCCCCAGTATGAATGCCTGATAAATCCAGAATCATATCGAGTAACATTATCTGGTGCCCTATTTGGGCCTTAATATGTACCGAAGATATCATTTGCCTATTAAAACTAGTTTTAAATACATCTTACACACCTATCACACCTAAACGCAAGGGTTTCAATGACCACATTCATCAAATCGGTATTAACTTGTTTTACTTAATGGATAATTATTTTGTTGAGGAACACAGAGGCTAGTTCGGCTGTCGAAGGAAGCCTACAAAAAGTAAGGGTCAGGTAGAGGTGAGAACCTCAGTTTACACGAACATTGTTTCATTTAGCCGCAGTTTATTTTAAATGATGCATTAAAGTCATAGTTACTTTAAAAAACATCTTTAAACATAGGTTTCCTAAATCATTAAAAACAAACGTTTACTTGCATAACAGGTTTCAGGTCTTGCTAGAATGCCCCAATCAGAAATATGTTCTGCTGATAGTGTAGGAAAAGTAAACACTCCTAAGATCTTCTTTCAGTCGGAGGACAATACGTGAGTTTTTCCGCAATATGAACCAGTAAGGATAGTGTAAAAGCACTCTGATATATAAAGCTTTGCAAATCGGTCGGTCGCACCTGTAACCTCTAACGCATTCCAGGTAGCACTCACTTTGAACCAGTAATCTGAGACAATCCTTTTGCTGACACCAAAGCATGCGACTTAGCTAAATAAAATTTTTAAATACATTTTAACGACAAATACGTAAATTGAGACCAAGCATTATTTGTCATCAGCGAATGCTTGACAAAGTTGACTTTTCTGTACAACAGTGCCAAGAGTAGAGTTGACAAAACCCTAAACTGTTACACGTATGCAATCAACGTGATTCGTTTTCGATAGCCACTTATGATTGGAGTTTTCGAACCAATCAGACGCCGCGTGCTTTTCTACTACTAAAGACTGTTAGAGAGGAGCGATAACGCACAAGAGGGTAGGAACGGACAAGCTGCCAAAAATAACTTGCGTAATAAGAATGCCTAGCACCACTAGAAAAATTTGTGGCCTCGGTAAATGTGCTTGTTTTCTGAATATTTATTCAAACATCCATTGTTTTCTCGTTAAATGCAATATGAATTTGTTAAATACGATTATGGTGATTTTTACGTCCTTTGTAAACTTTTCGCCTAGACTGAGCAGACTCCTGGAAGCGTTTCTTTTACGCTCCATTAAAGAAAATCTAGCTTTTACAAATTCAATAAATTTTGACGAACCTCAGTGGATGCAAAAGCATTTACCACAAGAACGCCACTGGGACGGGGACATCTACGTTCATTATCAAGCCCCTGATCTCGAGAATAGCAATGCGGCATCAAAAGTAGTCAAGTCGATTGGGTAGTGGAATAGGAATATGAATTCAGTGGTTACAAAACCAAAACCTTTGTACATTCATCAAATCCCGTCACTGGCTTCATGGACGACTGTATCGACTGATGACAGTTTACCCCCACAAAAGATTGTTCAAGAAAAGTCCAAATTTACGCATGTGACAACATTCAGTCCCTAATCTTGGGTCTAAGTTAGAGATTGATACTGACAAACAGTAAGACTTGAACGCTGCCAACACACGACTGTGAAGTGTACTGGCGCCATGCCACTCAATTAGCACATCTAAGCAGCAACTACTTATTTTGGTATTTGTCTAATGCGCACGCCTTGGCAATAGAGGTTACGTGCAAACTCAATAAGTGCGCCTAGATGTTAAGTCTTAAGATATGACACAGAAAGGACCGATGCTCTAAAAAAATCCATCGTTTCGTGATTGCTTCCGTACTCTATAGAATTTTCTATAACACATTCTCGAAAAATAACCAGTTGGATGACATCATTAAAAGACACCCTCCAAAAGAGAAACACAATTGACGCATTAAGGCCAAACACGACAGTAGTCATGATTAAGTTTTCACTGCAGACTGTCCTTTGCGATGCAGCAATACCGATTATATTCTTACTACACAACCGATGACAAATGGTCCGGCCCTATTCAGACACACTGGGTTCCAAAGTTTCCAAATGAATGGCTCTGCCCTTTTGGTTCGGCATCTCTAAGCCCTGCAAACTGCCCATTGACGACTAAAAAGACAAGCGTGAACAAAACCAGGTGCTATTGATGATTTTATTTCTTTAAGTGTTCATTAGTGCAAGCATGAACCTTAGAGGACCTTTGAATTTTTCTAAGGATGGAAATGGGCCAAATTCCCAACGCAATAAACGGTATCGCCATTAATAATAGGTCTAAAGTTAGGTCTTTCCAAGGATTTAAGTTTTAACTCACGTAGAGAAGACAAAATTAATTAAATTTTGAACAGCTTTTAAGATCCAACTTTACAAGGCCATAACTGACTGATTTTTGTTAGCAAGATAAACGCCGCATCTTCAAGCTCTGACCGGCAGAAAACACTTAAGCTGTTCTTCGCATTTTCTATGGTCAATAAGAATCACTCCCATGAGTAGCGTCATCAGTGAAGGGAACTGACAGGCACTAGCTGACTTCAAACAGATTTGATCGTTTTTCACCTACAATTATCGACAGTAGTTTGGAGCTGGGAAACTGCTCTAATCCCAACGATTCAATGGTTCCGCGGTAGGCTGCTGTGAGTCGTAAGATCAGAGACGTCAGTAACCAAATTGCATACCGAAAAAACACCATCGGCGCCTTAATCGTAATAATTAAGCAATGTTTCAATAAAAGAACAGATCTCAAGATTTGTGAAAAGTGCAAGGCTCTCCTAGGCTTCACTCAATTTCGTCCATCAAATGAGGAACATTACTTTACAGGAACAATTTCCTTACTAATGATTTAGGTAGCGGTCTCGGCAATAAGAAGAGGAATGTCTCAAGGGGTTCCGGTTTTGAAAAACTCGCATACATCAGTAATAGTGCAGTGTGAAATTTAGGTGAGTCATTTTCGAGATATGTGAACCTTCCTGACATAATCTGCTGGCAAATACCTCTAATAACGGTTGAGGTAAAGTGGCTATGCCAGAGTGAAACGCCATCAATTACTAGAGCTCACAAAAGGCTAGTTGAATCAGAATTAGATTTCCTACTTATCCAGACTTATTGACACTCGAAGAAGACTTAGGACGGATTGCGCACATCAAAAAAATCTGCCTCTACCTAAATTATGAAGCGAATTTTCATTAACATTGGAACATTATTTTCTATCTTGGCCCTTAGATTGTAGAGGGACCTTTTGATGCTAATGATTGAGAAAAAACCTAAATTAAGCGTCTTAAAAACATTGAAATTAATTATTACACGGGATTGACTGTGCACCTATGCCTGCGGTAAAGGTGCCTGTGTGCTGGTATTGATTTCCAAGCGCTTATGCAGCACCCACATTGCACAGCAGAGAAAGACAGAGCAGATACAGACTCAAAAAGGAAATAAAGAAGATATGTATAGGTCGTGCAAGGAGCGGGTAGTTGGGCTGAGATCGACGGCAAAAGAAAAACCTCAAAAGTAAAAAAATAAAAGATACCCATCATGCGCTCATTATGGCAACTCTCTGTCCATTCACCGTTTTAGACTTGACAACTCCATCCTCCTCGATTGTAACCGTCTCAACACCATCCTGTATTACGCGTCGTGTCGTCACGCACTTGCCACCAAGGAATTTTGTCGATGTTGACCTGAAAGTGCCCTTAACTGGCATTCCGGACGAACCACTTTTACTTCCAAACGTAAACTTTGTTCCGCTCTGATGAGCAGTCGCAGTAACGTTAGGCGAGGATGAGAAAAAGGTGAAACTATGCGAAATACTTCCATCCTTGGGAGAACCTACACCGCCCGCTGTTGACATGAAAGTAGTGAATAGAGAACCACCTCGGTCGGGAATGCGCGTATTCGCACGGCGAACAGGATGGGAAACATGAGTTGCAGGGGTTGCCGACGAACGGCTAGACCCAGATCGGCCAACGACACCATCCGTTGTGGCTGTAGTAAAGGGCTCCATAAAACTGTTCATCATAGTTATGTGTTCAGCGAAAAATTCACGGAAAATCTCCTCAGGATCACGAAATACAAAGTTGAAGAAGTCGTCATTATTGTCGAAAAACGAATAATTTGAACGACGGGGTGAAGGACGAGGTGACCGGTTTGCTGCGTCGTTATGGGAAGGACTGCCACGCAAGCCGGCGAACCCATACCGATCGTAGACTCGACGTTTTTCTGCATCTGAGAGGATTTCGTAGGCTGCACTAATTTCCTTGAATCGCTTCTCCGCCTCCTCCTTATTGACATCTGAGTTTTTGTCCGGGTGCCACTTTAGCGCAAGACGACGGTACGCCTTTTTGATGTCAGCTTCACTAGCTCCACGTTCGATTCCCAGAATGGCATACAGACAGGTAGCGCTTCCACTGCTGTTTTCAGGAGGCATTTTTTTTTATGAATTACGCCGCCTTTACGCTGCTATAAAATTAAAATCAATAAAAAATAGGCCAAAAAAAGGATACGAAAAAAATTACATGATTTTATGCTGGAGTAGGCCTTAAAACACTAATCACGATTTATTATTAATCATGTCGAACAACGTCCAAAACAGCAAGCGAAAGTAGTTTCTGGATCAGAACTTTTGAATAATTTTGTTCATGTCAATCTATTTTTTTTTATTTTCTTCGAAATTCAAATTTCCGAAACAAACACTAAACAATATCTAAGTGGTCAGTCGCTCCAACTTTTTGTGGTGAGAGCAGTTAAAATATACAAAGCTTATCTAATTGTTACATATTTGCGTTAGAAACAAATGATCACCAGTTTTGTAAAACATATACGACAGTGATACTGACTAAAAATTCATATGAACGGTGATATTGGAGGAGGCTCATAGCCAAATCAAAAATATTTATTAAGTCCTTTTACTAACAAAACAGTAGTTGAATATAGCTGTAAATAGATTCGAAAAAGATATACATGTTTTGTTACAAGATACAGCGACGTTGTGCAAACAGCCAAGCAAAAAAGTCGCTTTTTACGTACTTATCCGTGATGTTAGCAGGATACTAAGTACGAGTACGAAAAAAAAACAATTTTTTTTTAGTTTTTTTGGCCGACCGTTTCTCTATTATTGTATAAAAAAAATATTTTTCACCAATGTCTTCAAAAACGGGATTTCTTGTGAATAGGATTGGGTGGGGTTTTTATAAAAACATTACGAAAATACTATGAGTATAGGGAAACACACTACTACCTATATGATTCTTAATCAAAACAAACATTTGAATAAAAATTTAGCCACTTCTAAGGCAAGGAGCGTTTACATTGCTTTAATAACTAAAAAGCCTTTGCTCGAGAAAATTCTGGTGTGGCATTCAGAAGACAGTGAAATTAAGGGAGAAAAAAATCTTCTATTCTAAGATTTAGCCATCAACGCAAATCAAAATCTCCTATTTCAATGTAGAGTTAATGGTTTAGACAAAGGAACATCAATTGAAACTGAAACGATGTGGTTGCGCAAGAATAAGCTAAATTGTCTGTAAAAAGGTAATCTTAATGCTAGCAAGCTATTTCTGTGCCCGATAAGTATTGACGACCTAAAACATCAGTGATTACTTTGTCGAATCACTTGGATACCTCTGAATAAAGTAATTTGTATGAGAAACATGTTTTGCTATCAAATGAATTGAAATAATTAAAGTAATAAAAACTAACAAATTTGGATAAATATCAAGGCAGTAGTTACACAGATAAATGCATTGAAGCATGTCTACTAAAGACAAGAAACGAAACGTACGGCAAAGGTAATCGAAGTTAAGTAACAGTGGGGCACCCAAGTACACGAAACCCTGCTGCTGATTCGTTAGAATTTCTGTTTCCAAGTCCTCATTCTAGGTGGCATTTTGGCCAATCAATAGCACTGATTTTACCTTGAAATATGAAGGCTGTGTTTAATGCACTACAAGATTATCCAAAGAAAGGGGAACATGCAACTTGGTGGATTGATAAAGAACTCATTATTTAATTTCAGCTGTTACTATTTAAAACGACCCATCGAATCGTAACTGGATTTCCAAATACTTCAAATATAGTTGGGAGCAATTATGATGGACCAACAAGTGCGCTTGCTTAAGCAATCTGCTTGTTATAAATTTTTCATTTGAAACTTATGGTACAATGAAAGTTTACTATTAAAAGTAGCATTGTCGTAATTCTGACCATGTGGACACATTAATTTTAGTTAGTCATTTAAGCAAAATGTTTTTTTAAAGTATAATGAAGAAAAACTGATATGTTGGAGGTATGTGAGACAAAATGCTAGGCAGTATTAACTTATCGGTGACCAAACTTGCGATTTGCAATGACTTGAAACTAAATCTTACGGATAATATCTTGTACCATTTTGTTGCATGCCATTTTAATTCTTATTCAGATTAAGTATTATTATCCAAAGAATTAAGACAGCATGATTTGCATTTTCGTTTTCACTTAATAAATATTAATTTTACGTTAGATATTTTTTAACTACAACAAACATCCACGCTCAATGGTACGATAATATATTGACAAAAATCGGCAGTGCGTAGTATTTCATCTGTTGCAAGTGCGAAAGTCAGTTCAACTCTCAAAACATAGTATAATAATTTCAACAAGCTGCTTGTTATAATTGAGCTTACAGGAAATGTTCTGGAAATTTGGTTAGGGTTGCGGTTTATCCAAAATATTGCGCATTTGACTGACAATGCATCAACTAAAGGTGCGATGGCATTAGTGATGTCGGAGATAATGAATAAAGTGTCAGCTCTTTTAATGAGTCGATTATAAAACTCGCTATGTGGCCTTGCGTAACGAACCGAAATGTTGACTGCACAAAATCTCTAGAACCCTATAAATTGAAAATATTTCAAGGACCCTGGCGTCCACACTAGCAGTTTTGGTTTACATTGTTATTTGCGTTCAACCTTTTAAAGACCGTGTTGCTTATACCTGGACTTAATAATATATTTCTGTGTATTTTCATGTATTTGAAATGGATGATGTTAGTTGATTTATAGTGCTAAAACGTCTATGGGGCGTAATTTAGAACTCACTGTACACAAGTTGAGATGTGGAATAAGGCTCATGACATTAGTGCTATTAGCACAGATGTCATTTCCAACCCCAAAGTCTAATGCTACCTCATATACCTTAAAGGCGATTATTTGAATGCGTGTTATGTAGCGAACCATTTTAGCTAGAAACCTCTTCTTTAAGAACATTTCCCTCGTGAATTACTCTCATCATGTACCACTTGCATTTTGTAACCCTTGTTACGCATACTTCCATAGTCGCCATAAACACAATAGCAACATTTTCGATTCACAAAGCTACCCTCTAATTTAATTCGAAACCACGATTTTGTGGACCCCTTTTAACTAGAAGCTTCTGCGATTAAGGCCGTTGATATTCAGATGTTCTGTTTTATAACTGGGAATTTCGATCACTTCAAGCCTCTTTAAGCAAGAACCGAGTTATTGACCATAATTATTACCTCGACTAGCAAGGATGCGGATTTGTTGCATAACAGAGACAATGAAGTACATTGGGAATAATAACGCTTATAGTAACTGTGGTCCTGAAAACCTCAGGCAGTTAGATTGGACAAAATTTAAGGGACCAACGACCACTGCAGTTGCAACACAAAAGCATTTAGACAACAATTTGCAAAATCTGATGGTGTTTAGCAAAGACCCACCAAAACATAGATCTGATCAACCCGACTAATGTCTTGCAAAATGAATAAACCCAATTAGTCAAATTCGTGGTTCAAATTAGATAGTCTAATACCTTTTGTGGCTGCGTTAACATCCGATATCTCAACATGCAAAGGTTGCACCGCTGCGAGGTATCAATGCCGTAATTTGTAAAGGCAGCTAGTCGTAAATTAAACGAACTTCAAGTATTTCGCCTGCGGTTGCAATTTCCAATTCTTAAACAACTACTTGCATATAAGCTATTTGGCACCGAAACGCTCAGTAGCAAGGTTTTTAGAAAAGTGTGACCGTTTTCGCATCCCCGAAAGGTCATGTCTTTGGGCGGCAACAGTTGGAACCAGGCGATTGTGTGGGTTAACATTCCAAAGTCAAAAGGAATATATGTGCTTAATAAGCACTCTGTTGCTCCCGAGACAATATCTAGAGTGTTTTCCTATACAACCAGAAACTGGGCAATACTCCCAACCATCCTTTTATCATCCCACTTTTTCAGCTTTGCAACCTGAAGCATCAACGTAAGTTATTAGTTATATATTTACCATCGTTTTCAATTAATCCATTGAATACACCAACCAACACAAATGAGCAAATTGACATGCAAGCGTACCCGCGCACACGCCAGTTAGGTGTCGTTGGCTTCTGAAGGAGTGCGCAATGTAAGTGTAACACTCCATCTGCTGCTGTCGACGTGGATAGCCACACTCAATGCGCCAAGTTACCAACTTAAAACGATTTTGGATAGTTTCGTAAAGCTAATAAAGAGCGCTGAAACGAGTGATACAATTGCTTGACGGACCCAATAGTTTTGATGCTTATTCCAGTGACAAAATAAGGTGTTTATTAAATTTTCATTTCTTTTAAAATATTAAAAACAGTGAAGAGTTTCCCAACCCTAGTAACCAACTTAAAAACCCCGTGCCTTCACTTTCCTAAGTCATGGGAAACGATTGAAGGCATTGTTTATCGAAACGGCGTGCTAAAAAGAAACTATGACATCGAAAAAGTGCGATGAGCACTCCTTTGTGGGCGGTAAAATTGACCAACAAACCATGGGAATACACGGTGACCGGGATCGTATCCGTTGCTCAGAGTTGACAAGGTTTGAAAACAGTGCAACTATGAGAGGCGCACGACTGAGCATTTTTGAGTCCCACTTCGCCCACCACTTTCATTAAGGAAAAAACCAATGGCACACCAATGGTCTAGAACAGTGAATAGACAGCAAAAATCAAAACATAAAGTGGGAGGGCGACACAGCAGAAAACAGCCATAAGGAATAGCTTAGGCGCAAAGACTGTCCAAATAAAAAGGTGAGAGTGCATGATAAGACACACGATCGCCGATACAGAAGTAACTGCGGTAAGAAGACCAAGCAAAAAACCGGTAATGCAGTTTCTTATATGCAATAAACGTGCTCTATCACCGCCGTGCAAATAGATTAAATATCTGAAGAATAGGGAGAGGTGCCAAAAGATTGGCCCAGCATACGTGTAGCACGCGACCATTAAAGTCGACAAAACGTTTGAGTGTTCTGAGAGGCCGACGTAACCAGCCGCCATGTCGACTGTGGAGAGTTTATTGGAATTACCCTACAAAAGAACTTTCTCAATATGTAAATAAACGCCACAAATTATAGCAGAAAATCTACTGAGAACTTAAAGGTGGCTGGATAATGAGGAAAATTACTTGCTTCGTGTACACTATTGAAGTATGAGAAAAGCCTTTTTCAAGACGACAAATAATTTTTTATTAGGAAACTAGCAAAATATTAACGAATGAAACACAAGCTGTAAGTAAAGTAAGCATACCTGCTGGAAGAAAGTTGTCCACCCCTCTATCCAGTAGCACATGCCAATAAAGTAGGTCAATTTCGAGTGAGACTCCGACCACAAAACGCCCATAGAGGTGAATTCAATGTGAAAGACATAGGCTAGGAGTGACTCCTTAAGTATTACGCCAGCCCACAAAACAATGCCCGAAGGACGACCCAGAAGGACTGCAAGAAGAGCAAATGTGTGGACAGGACTCAGCACGGGCCAAATATTATCCGACTTGGTAAAAATTAGGGAACCCGTCAGGATTCGAGGGGACTCGACACTCCCAGACCGGGCGATGAGGTCGAAGAGAAACCAGAAACAGCAGATCAGGTCGACAGCCAAACAGACAAAGGCTAGCCGAGCGGACAGTAGCGAAGAGGCCCACCTGCAGGTGAAGATACAAGTCAGACAACCCCCATTTTACCGGTCTACATTCTAGACAAATGCCACCAAAACTACTTTTTGGGAAATTTTAAAATAAACAAAGGTAGAGGACTCGAGGTTATCCTGCATTCGTATTCACTTGTGCTTTCGTTATGGCAACTGAATCTAGGTCCACGAGTCCCCGACGGTTTAACGTGCTTGAAAATACATAGTTTGCATTGGTTTGGCATACATGCGGTAAAAAAATACTGGTGAAAATAAGACAGCAAACTTACGAGTCATGGTGAATCCGATTTCCTCCAGCAGTGTAACAAATTATGCGATAGGCAAGTTGGCTGAAGGCAACCAATGTCAAGGCGAAGACTGTACGCCGATGCTGCCTGCGGAATGTGTTCGGAGGCTGAGAGAGGAGTGCTCGCGAGAGCAGTATTACAATCCATGCCATCACCTGGATGATCCATAGATAGGCTACGTTATCCTCGCTAGAAATTTAAAGGGCATTCCAAAAGTTTGATTAGCGAGACGCGATCCCTTGTTTTAATTACTGCATCCACACAAATATTCTATCCCTAGTCCGTTATTCAGTACTAGTTTGTATAAGAGTTGATCAAATCATGGAATTTTACCTGCAATTAGCAAGATTTTCGTGGTGGCGAATATCCTATCACAACAAATAGCCAGCCAAAGAGTAAACAAACCATTGACATTTTAAAAATCTCGAAAACGCATTCGTGGCTATTCCGCCACCTTTTTAAGAACTGCTGTAATGTATCTGGGGGAATCTCTACAAAGAGTAGAAGTACAGAGGAACAGGCACGCAAAGCTACCGATGTCTTCGTTACGCCTACTCCTGAGTATTTGCGCAAAAAAGCGAAGAGACCACCTGATTAAAACTGAACAATTTAGGTAATGCTTACAACCAATTGGTGAGATCTGGTAAATGGATCCATTTATCTCCCGTCTGGTTGAGCGCATTCAGTAGAAACCGATCGAGGCAGAGAATGAAGGCAAGTAAACCAATCACCTTGCACTTTACCAAAAGAGCTGACCCGCCTCCGACTACAACTCCCCGCTCCGATATCATCAAAACGATTAGGAAGTACAAGGAGCTGGTGGCGAAAAAATACCAGGTTCGATGTTCTTCCTCAATCAAACTACTCGCAGTCAGGGAAATCAGATGAAGAAGAAGGGAACCGAGAGAAAAGATCGCCAACAAACTGAAGATCTGTGCACGGACACTCTGATTCGACTGCATTTAAAGGGGAAGGAACTAATATGGAGTGCTTTGCATAAAATACACTCTAAATGTATTATGTATTACCTTAATGTTGAACCTATTGAGGCTAATAATATCCCAAACACCAGGTGCCAAAAAGGAAATGGCGATCTGTGTAAAAGAATAACAGGTTTAGATCGCATTCTGCGGAGGGGTAAAGGAAGACGTCGCATCTTACAGCCACCATAGTCAAGCAAGCTGAGCCGACCAAATTAACGTTCAGTTTATTATTTGCGTGAAGCAGAGTTCGCCGTTGGAAGGTGGTGAGTAGATTAACAACTTGCACGGTCATTCCTTCCACGTCGGTCAACATTCGGTTGCAGGTCGGGTGCACCGATGACGAGGGTGAACACATCTGCACCAGTGACGAGATTTCACTATATAGTTGATTCAACTTCGAAACTAAAAGTTGCATTTTTCAAAATGAGTTACAACTGTCTTGAGGCAATGTTGGCTTCCTTGTGATGTTTGAACTAGCAGCTAGACGCTGTTCAAACCACACGTAGGCGCTAAACATTAAAACCCACTACATAATTGCACTCCAACAACTATCGTATGTAGTGGATATAGGAGGGTTGTTTTACACCCACTACATTCAGGTTGTAAACAATACAATTATTAACCCGATGTTTTTTTTATTATAAGATGCTCGAACAAAATGTTAAATCTAAAATAGGCTAGCATGCAGACTAAATCACTATAGACATGACCCACAATGCACCCGGTAAAACAATAAATTGCTTATCCACAGAGGTAAGTAAGAGTAAATGAATGTAAAGAAGGAATGATAAATACTTACTCTCACTGGTAACAAGAAGTTCGTGGTTGCAATTAGTGTCGAAACATTTGGTTAGCCGACGCAAATGTTCTAGGACTTCCAAGAGGACGCCATATCGGGAAAGTGGGTTGGGCCAAAAAGCCTGCAGAACACGGACAGGTGGAACGCCGATGCTGCCAGCAGGAACACCGTCACCGGTCAGCAGGCCTATCAGCGTAGCTATGTCGGTCTGATCAGACTTGGCTTCAAATACACCTTTTTCTATAGTGCATGCCTAAAGGAGAAAGAAATAGTGAGTCAAATTTTAAAGGACATATATAGCAATTAGTAAATAATAGGCGAAAATGCTAGCTTTAGGTCTTGCAATCGAAACCGTAGGAAAGCACTCTGCGGAGTAAAGCAAACCAAAAATCACTACGAAAGAAAAGGAAAGGACACAACTACAAACCGCCGTTTAAGTATTTGAGGTAATTGTAATTACACATTTTTGTTTTATTGTGGATAATTGGATGAAATAATAATACAGCTATGAGACATATATTTGCTGGACCGAAACAAATGACGGACTAAAAGTTAATAATTAACTGCCAGCTCTATGTTTGAAATAAATATGACGTACTTTAATATAAACGCCGTAAAATAAGAATAAATTCTCCAACAGAGTAAAGAATTAACATGGGACTTTCATCAAGATGCTCTAAATAAATAGGTTATACGTAGCAGTAAGATGTGATGATGAGGAATTAGGTAACATACCGAACCACTCTGGCGAATAGTCTGAAATTTAGGGCTAATGAGAACCAGGCTTGTTCTTAATTCAGAATAAGAACCACCTCCATGGCTGCCCTGATCGCTCATTCCATGGTCGCCAGTTAAAATAATCAACCAGTCACCTTTGCCTGACTTTTCCTAAAATAAATCCGAAAACTAGCAGCATATTTTTTGCAAAAAACTTGACTACACCTTATATTATTATGAACAACTGTTAACCCTTAGAAAGGCACCATACGAAGTGCTGAATTAAAATGGGGCCCTTCGAAATATTACCTACTTTAATAATGAAGGACTAGTCTAAAAATTCATCAGTAGCAACTGAGAATGCGTAAAATATAAAGAACGGGACCCGAAATTTTCTTCATCTTGCCAAGCTGTGCTGTATCTTGATGAATTTATTTAAGCTCACCATTTCATTGACTAGTTTTCCAACAACTTGATCCATCTCCCACAGTTTCGATGACACGGCATCACCGTTAGGACCCTGAACATGACCTATGTGATCCAGTCCGAGATAATGCAAAATCATTAGATCCCAATCATCGGGCACAGACAGACGACTTTCGAGATGTCGAGTCACGTTGGTGTCTACCTGAAAATAAATACATTTTAGTTGTTCGCTTATGCTTAAAAAGACACAAGTACCTCGTAAAAATCCGTGACGAAAAACGAGCTTGTACCATCCGAGCGCTTGAATGCATCGGGAAATAGCTTCAGCCAGGTGTCGTCACCGTAAAGTTCAATACGCTTGTTATTCTGAACCATGTATTGGACCCAGGAGGGTTGTTTAACACCAACTGTATTTAGGTTGTAAAGGATATCAATAAATCCAGGGATGCGTCCAGTTGCAATGGCCTATTGAAAGCTTTTTTTTAGCAGAAAAGAAAAACTCACTTTGATACGGGGACCTGTGACGGATGGTGTAGCCAAAGATGCAGTGGAACAGTCAACGATGCCTTTCTCTATGACAGCTCGCAGGTTTGGCCAATTACGGTAATATTTGGTTGAGCCAATCATGTCTGGTCGCAGGGCATCCACAACCATAAGAATAACGTTAGGTGCTCGAGGTTCGTTTATTCTAACTGCAGCTAGTGCATTCCAATATAGATCAACAGCATCTTACCTGCGTTTTCATGGATATATTCGGATGGGAGAGAAAACAGGCCAAGAACACAAAAATAAAGAGCTGCCACAAAAATTCCGAAACGTATGAAGATGAAACCAGGTGACTCGTTCATTTTTACTGGCATTCACATAGAAATGGAAATATATAAAAATTAGAAATCTGAAAACTACTTTAAGCAAATACAGTAGTCTATAACGTATTCATTTGAAGTTGAATAACTACAATATAACCAGCAAAACACTGTACAGCTACAGAGTTGCAGAAAGGCTGGTTTTTGAAAAAGACTGTGTGTTATAAAACAAATAACGAAAATGACGCCGTTAGCCTTGTTATAGGCAACGTGTCGCTACTTCTGGGAAATAGTTACATTGACACAATGGATTGTGGTAAATACCAAATTTATAGATGTATGACAATAACAAAACAGTTTTTAGCATGACAATTAGCTGCTTATAAGGTAACTTTAACATGCCTCAAGAATAAACCGAACTCGTACAGTCAATGTTAATAAACAACATTGCTTGCCATTAGGAGACACGTCCAAAAAATACAAGGTGTTTGCTTTACAGGGTGTAATTGATAAGAATGCGTAGTACAAGCCCCAAAACACCATGCACAGACTCGAGTTTAGCGAATTACTAATTTCGACAGAGATTAGTGAATTAAACGGTAAAAAAACATAGGTATTCACAAAGTTACTCGGGCAATGTGGTTTGGTGCGATAATAAAGCAAAAACTGACTACAGGAAAACAGACAAAAACCTAGCCCACGTGTTTTTCACGAAAAACTTTAAATACTGATCCAAGTTAGTACAAACCAGGTAATGCTCAATTGTCGACTAGACTATTTTTTGTTAAATCTTTAGTAAGCAGCTTTATGAAACTTGATTCATATTTTTTTCCTTAAACCATAACAGAAATAACTAGTGTCAAATGAAAGTGACCTTCAGTAAATAACATCCTGAATACAACAGTAACATTCAGAGCGATCAAATCAGTTTGTGAATGTGCTGTAGTCATGAGTTTTGCAAAATAGATGCCTTTCCGTATTAAACATTTTATCTAAAGCTACAGTAGGATGGAAGAAGAACACTTTGAAGATCACTCTTAAAGGGAAAATTTTGGTCGACAACATCTTTGTTAGTGAAATGCTAAATTCGGAAAACGTTACAGTAGTAGTTCAAAAGCAGGAATACGCAAAAAACGGAATTAAAAAAAAACAATATAAGCAGGTACAGATATCCTACTCCAAACACCTTCAAAATTGTCTAAAACAATTTGATGAAAGTCTCCTAAATCTGGCATTTATGTCATCAACTACTTTGTGAGATCGAAAGGCTCCCAAATTTAAAACATGTTATTTTCGCGGATGTCTATTAAGAAAGTGCGCATTAAACATAAAAAATTTTCTACAACAGCAAAAAAAGCTGATTTAAAGGTACCAAAATTAATGTAAAAAAAAGAAGTTGGAGAGCAAACACATAAACCAATATTAACTATCAGAAACGCCCAGAAAACCCACAAATCGCGCCAAGTGGTCAACAAACATAGAAAGTCTCGATGAAAGGTTTAAACGCGTCAAGTTAAATTATAATGCAGTCCACGTTTTCATGCAATTATATTCGAAAAATGCCATATTGTGCACCAAAAAAAAGTCAGTTCCTAAAACCTGCTGCTTACAGTCAGGACTAAATTCAAAAAGTCGATGGATCCGCTGACACACCTCAGCTTGGAAGGTTTGGTCGGTTGCTCTCTGATCTTGCCCAACATTTGAGTTTCATGTCTCTGACAGACCTGGGCATGTAGTTTTCAGGTCCACTCACAACAGGGCCAATACAAACTGAAGTTAAGCCAGCGTTTCATCGCCTCGTACTCATGACATTTGCGTTGACAATGTGTGAGGCTAGTACAAGGATGTCACCTGAATTAAGAAAGTCTATTTTAAGAAAAATTATTATTTAAATGTGCAAGGTGTGCACAAAATTTGCAAACAAAATTGCATTGTAAATTAACGAAGTGGGAGATTCAAGTCAGTAGGCGACACCAACGCCAAGGAAGCAAGGAAAAGTGCGGCGTAGTGACGTAATGAAGCCGAAAGTTGTAACCAGCAGTACATCGACGTAATTTGTACGTCCATTTTCAGGGCGTCGTTGTTGCTTAGTTCTTGTAGGAGGGGAAATACTAGCAGGTGAAATCTACTGAAAATTGTCTAAGGCGTACTCTTTCATCCGGCGTCGGCACACGAAATGACTTCAGCAACGGAAGTAGACTGGATGTGGAAGCACTGAACGTTGGAGTTATTGACTAATACCACTTCCATGTTGTCGATACATGTGGCGAAATATCAGGTACGCGATGATCCACGACAGCGTTTAAAACCCAAGTTTCGTAAATAAACTTTTACTCTAGGCAAAAGGGTAACACATTTGTAGGCGAAAAGTATACCAAACTCGCAAATACAAAATTCAGAATAAATTTAAGCCTTCTTGGCAGTAATTAATCATAGGCAATCTATCATGGAGGCATTAGCCCAAATAAAATTCTCATGTGGAGGTGATGCCAATTTAACATAAACGTAAAACTGCAATGCAATTAAAGGCATCGTCAAGACATTGCCATACACGGAAAAAGATTTCAGCACATTGCGAAAACCGTGACATCCAATTTGCCTCTCCGAAAAAAAAATGTATGGGTTTAGGTAGATCAGTTGATTTCACGGAATAACAGCCACTGCTAAATTTCTCAATTAATCACACTTCATGTCGACACACTTTTGTAGCTATCACGAACTAGGACTGATCTCTGCACGAAATCAAAAAGCATGAGCTACACCGGCGTCCTCAATTCCTGCATTTTTTGTCAGGACACCTGCTATCCTCACGTGAAATTCGCGTGCTGTGGGACTAGTCATACTCCTTCTCACCTTCACATCGTCTACACTGGAACAGTGAAATTGATATGCAGGTCCGTAACCTTGTTTCAACGTCTGCACACCGCATCACCAAGCACAGCATTAGTGCATTACGCATGCAACCATGTGGACGTTTACATCCGCGACGTCTTTGACATCACAGTCAACGCCCACTGGCGTCATCGTCACTTTATCTCCCCCTGTTCTGCATCACTTCTCAGACACTGCTAATTGGAAGTTGTCGTCGTCGTCGTCGTCTAACTCCTTGGAGCGTTGGCAGTCGACCATACTTCGATATGCGTGCTGGCGGAGACTTCCATTTGTCGTCGTTGCGCACGACACGAGCTTCACTGAGAGTGGTATTTTACACTTGTTGTGAGTTATTGTCGCTGGGATATGTGAGGCTAAATGAATCTCTTTTGCTGAATGATATTGATGACAAAAATTGCATTATTGGTACACTTGTGGTGTCAGCTGTCAAATAGCATTCACTGACATGCATGAGCTAATTCGAATGGCGCATGTCTAAGCGAGCTCCGACTTCACCGAGCGTCCGTGATGTGGTCTTTTAACTTCGTGAGACTGGCGTTTGAATGCGTCAAAAGGTGTTTCTGCGATGTTTTAGCTACCATTAAGTACAACGGAAGCTACTTCAACATGCTAAATGCTTCCCAGACAACGCAGAAGCCTAGTTTGCGTATTTGCGCAGCCCCGACCTCCGATGTGTCAGTAACTGATATTTTGAAGACATTCGGTAACTCAAAGCTGTTTTCTGTGATCTCCGCTCTGTGTGAAAAAAATACAGACGACCAGATTTGCTAGCAATGCTGTGACCCCAGAGACCGAGTTAAGTCTGAAGGGTCATTTAAATCGTTGGTGTGAGCCCTGGGGCCCGGCGTGATAGCTTTAGATGTTAAAAAGGAATCTGCGTAAACAATAGGAGCTGGCTTATAAGGAGACAGTTAATCGCTTAGTTGTTTCGCGTTAATCCTCTTAGTATGTGTTATCTCACAAAAGTTAAAACATCTGTGACCAAATAAAGTAGAGGTTGTTATCTGGAAGCGAGTTCTGCCACCACTGGATCCTTTACATAGATAGGTTATGTCCTGCATATATTGTGATGAGTTTGGTGCGTCCTTATATTAACTCAGATAAATAATCATTAGTCCTTGCAGGGCATTGCCACACTATGATCAGTACACACAAATCATTATAGCAAGTGACGCTTCCAATCGTTGCAACAGACCTGCTAGCCTAGCTGTGTTTCCTAACGACATTTCGAAGACTAAACCGAGTGTATATTCATCACTGATGTCTGCATGGTGTCATCTACTGACAGATCTAGATGAGAGCCATTGCCGTAGTTCTGGCAGCATTACTTTTTGCAATACCCATTTGTGGACGCCGTTCTACGCAGATTCACACCCCGAAGCCACCACTTTCGATATTCGGTTCCGACGATGGGTTGCAAACTCACGCATCAATCTCCACCCATTGGAGCGCACGTGTCTTACCGAGCTACGACTTCGATATCCAAAATCACCGAATACAACGTTGGTTTTGCAAGTTCATTATCGTGCTTCATCAGTAGCCAACTAGCTACTTAAGACGATGCCATAGTCGTTGTCGACAGCACCACCAAACTCATCAACGACGGCGCCCCACAACCCCCGTGGCGGACTGCCCGAACACTACCCGTCACGTTAAGCACCATCCAACAGAAGACCAGATAAGTCCAAGCAATGCAAGCGGCTATTCGCGAAGTCCAAAGTAGGTGGTCAAACTGCCTATTGATTGCAGACCTCCTGCACCTACCCTAGTGATGTACGTCCTTCTGCATTGTCGACGGATGGTTGGTGCTGGTGTTGCTGTTTGGTGATACTCACATCCATTTGGTCACAAGCTCTTTGACTATTGTATTCTTGTCACACATTTTTGTCCAACTTCTTTAGCTGACCGCCATTGAGCCGACAAATTGTGTATTCAATTATGTGCTGCTCTCATCGCCGGCATTGCCATGAGATTCCTCCTACTGCGCGTCTCGTTACTTAGGCCAAACACAGGCTCCTTGGGTCATCGATCTCACAGGGTCCATTAGGGGATGTCGCAGTTACCGTTGGTCGACACCCGTTAGCAATGGCAAGAAATATTAGAAATGGCCTTTCCAACAACAGTTCGCGTGACTTCAACTGTCTCAGTTCTATAGTCATCAT